ATTTGAGTGTGACCCGAATTCCTTGTTGAAGTAATTGAAAAATTCTAATTAAAGTGCACGACATGAAAAATTCAAATTTAGAATATTATTGGAGTCCTATGTTATGTTGAAGTTCTATTTTGGAAACCTATTGGGAGCTGAAATTTGTTTTGGACTCAATTTTATGGTATCCTACTTTATCAGCAACTCTATTAGGTGAGTTTGGACATCCCCTACTTATTCCCTATAAATACCATGCCTTCTATACAATTTTATAATGTGAGAAAATAGATTACTAGAATTATAGGATCCATTGTAATTTTCTCTTCTCCATTATTCTTGAGTCAATAAAATCTCTTAATTTCTCTATCATATTCTTGTCTTTATATTCTTTTACTTGATCATATATTTCATTATTATTTACCATATAACTTCAATATCTCAATCCGATGATTTGTTTTACAACAATAGAAAAGTCACATGAGAGGATATGTTTAGGGCCCGTTCGGTAGGGATTAAAATCCAATTAAAATTGAAAATATGGTTGTTATTGGGTCCCACTCGTCTAAGAAAAGTCAACAATAACGGCTATTTTTTCAATTTTAATCTGATTTTAATCCCTACCGAACGGGCCCTAAACATATCCTCTCATGTGACTTTTCTATTGTTGTAAAACAAATCATCGGATTGAGATATTGAAGTTATATGGTAAATAATAATGAAATATATGATCAAGTAAAAGAATATAAAGACAAGAATATGATAGAGAAATTAAGAGATTTTATTGACTCAAGAATAATGGAGAAGAGAAAATTACAATGGATCCTATAATTCTAGTAATCTATTTTCTCACATTANATATATATATATATAGTTTGGAATGTTGGAAATTTATGATGTGCAAATATTGACAAGGCTTTTAGTTTGTTAAAGGATAAGTTAGATTATAACTTAACCATGTCTGGATGATCATTTACTTACTGCTTGTCTGGGCGCAATTATAATTACAATTCCAACTGTTGCTGCAGTAATTGCCTACAATTTTTGACTTTTGTTTACTCACATCCAGCCCACAATTTGAATGGCAACGGTCCAACAAAGTCAGTTTTGTGTAATTTTAGTTGCGCCTAAACAGGCGCTTAATTGTAATCATAACTGGACGATTGGTATTGTTTACCTTATGGGCTTGACCTCATGTTCTTTAGAATGAATAAAATTACGTCCATTAGGTTTTCATGATGATGAATGTAGTCTATATATTTGCAAGTTATGGCTAAAATTTGGTACATGTATGTGCATGTCCATACCATCTATTAGAATTATTCTACATGTACACCTTGGTGTACATAATGTTCAAGTGACAGTTCATCATTGACTGATGGAAAATAAGAATATTTTCCACCAACTAATAATGAAATGTCACATGAGCATTATGTACACTAGGATGTAAACCCGGATGTACATGTAGAAAAACCCCATTTATTACTATCCAATATTGATTTCATGGCTTCAAGAGATAACCATTATTTAATAATTTCAATCTCTAAAAGTAATTTTCTCACTTTCAATGGGTTCAAGTTCGATAGCCACGAAATAGAGTAGAGAAGGATAAGTTGCACACTTTAGGCTCTGTGTTTTATATCGATGTGTATTACTAGATGGGATCTAGAAAAATTCTAACATGGGAATTCGAAGTTTCAATATAGTAAATAGCACAATTCAAAAGTAGTAGCTTAAGCCGTAATTGTTGTTTATTGTTTCATTCTTATTCGATTAGAGATTTATTCTTTAACTGTAAGTGTTGATGTTTTTACTGAGTTCCCGCCATGTTGATCATGATTGTAACAATTGTACTTCTATAACTACATAATGATGACTATAATATGATTTTAGTAATTATGTTTGATCGGATAATGTTTAGAGTTGATTCTTAGATGAGCTATGTTTTATTAAAAAAAAAGTCATTCTCAAAACTCATTTAAAAACTTGAGATTATCAATTAGAGCGCGTGACAATTAGAACAAGGTCATTTTTAAAAGTTTAAGCACGGTCAAAAGATGTTAAAATCGAAATTTTCTTTAATCATTCCAAGAGCCACTCCGTTATGGCACGCACGCACGCACGCAAGCAAGGATCGACATGATCAAGTGTGCATGATTATCACCAATGATTTTTTGTATCCTTAATTATTTAAGAAAAGATCATAAAATGTGACATTTACAAGTAGAATTACACTACTTGTACACACAAATTGTACACCTTGATTGACACCCCACATACAAATAATATGAATCGCGTAAAGTTATTAATAAATTTCACCATCAAGAGCCCGGTTGGCACGACTTTGAAAAATCAAAAAGAGCATTTGAGATAAGAAAGTAATATTTTGACCCGTCTGATTAATTTTATATAAGTATTTCTTCTAATTCGAAGAATAACTCTTTTGGCAATTAGTTTTCAAATATTAATTGAGATATGTTCCTCAGGAGACTCTTCCGTAAGAAATATGATATTACTCTAAATCAAACATTATCCATTTACATAAAACCCTTATTTGATTTGGCTAAAAATCAAATTTTTAGTAGATTTTATAGAATTGAAAAAATGTGTAGTTGAAAATTTGAAAATTGTTGCGGTCCATGAAACGTGTCGTTGAAAATGAGTTTGAAAAAAATAAATTCTAAATTATTCGATTCAGTGAAAGTTCTGGATTCAACTCTTATCATCATTTCATTGTCAAAAGTTCTATATACCAGCTTTTTTTATGGAAAAAAAAAAAAAAAGAATTCCCATCGCATTATATGAGGAGTGTCGAGTAGCTAAATTTCTTTTCACTAAACAATTCTCGTTGACAATCTTCATACTTATCCCTTCAGCTTTTAGAATAATAATGATTTGAGGTACAAAATTGACTTGCATTTCAAAAAGGGTTCTGAGCGTGGTAGCCTATCTCATTATATTATGCCACTGTTTGACCTCAGAATAAAAACAATTAATTATATATTAAAATAAGATTTATATTCTTTATATGCTGACTTTCATATAAAAAAACACTAAGAATAACGTAGCCAAAACTTTCCCATTTTGAAATTATGTAACTAAAATTATAAGTACCTTAAAAAAAACGTTGTGCGGGCAAATCGATCAAAGTTTACTTCTCGCTCGGCATTAAATTATGGATTGTGCTACATGTACACTCCGTGGTTTACACCATCCTTTACACCACTTTCACATGGAGGGGGGTCCGCGAATATTTTATTGTGTGTGAGCCCCCTCAATCTGAGAGGGGTGTAAAGAATTGTGTAAATGATTATGTACATTTAGCATAATCCCCAAATTATACTATAATTGTATGGGGATTTCAAAATCAATTTGTTTTGTGTCCAAAATGTGTAGTTTGTAATTACTCGTCTGTGAGTAAAAAAAAAGGTCATCGTGCATAATCTTCCTATCATATATGTTATTTCGAATATTCCATTTAAATTCCGGTGTGGGTAAGAGTCTAATTAAATCTGAATTGATGCTTATTAAAGTTCAATGGCAAAAAGGAAAGCTTATCGGGCGTGGGACATTTGGAAGTGTGTATGTATCTTCAAACGGATATATTACATTTCCTTTTTCCAAGATTTTACCTGGGATCATAACCTATCTAATTGTTATCGTCAACGGAGAAATGTTACACCTTTGACGAACATCACATGGTGTGAACCATAACATGTTTAGTACCGAAAGATTTAATTATCTTAGTTCGTTTACCTGAAACCAATATGGGACAGCTAACCATGGTTAATGTGCTAATTATTTCATAACACCGAAGTACACTTGACATATACAATAAGGGTCTGTTTGATAGGCAAATGTGGAAAGAAATTCTAATTCTATGTTAGTTGAAAAATAAAAACACACCAAACCCATAGGAATTCGTTTTCTATGAAAGTAAAAAATATGCAGTTTAAAGTGGTTGTACCTTGAAATTCAATTTTCATTTCCACGTTGCAATCAAACGGTCAAAGTGAAATTCGTTTTCTTCGAATGTGACATTTTCCATAAATTTCGTTGCAATCAAACATGACCTAATATGATACTAAAAAGTAGAATCCATATTCATTGGTTTTTGATGCAGAAATGGTCAATTTATTGGAATGATGAACATTGAGACACATACATGTTAAAAAGCATTAATAAATAATTCATACATGTAGTCCAACAAAGCAAATAACCAACATGCTGGACTGAAGTTATTTACTCAAATTTCCATAATAAAGTTTAAAGAAGAAAGTAGATAAAAGAAGTAAAATTATACACATCTTGAGTCACTTCTCCATTTTTGCTTTCCCATTTTTCTGGCCCAGCGGAACTGGGAATTGGGACAGAAGTACGGATCCACAAGTACAAATTCTTAATATCTTCATAAATCGATAAGAGGATAATGAATTTGTTTATGATATCATTGAAAAAAAAGGTATTGGTATGATCAAATGAATAATGCTAATTTACGGGGTGTGAAATTTTTATTTATTTATTTTGGATTTTTCATTGATGCGATTTCGATTTCTGCCTAAAGATGAAGGAGATGAAATTTGGGGATTTTGGCAATATTTATAGGTGAATTAAAGGGGCTTGTTTGATGGAGAGATTTAAGTTACCTAAATTGATTAATATTTTTTGAAGTAAAGTTGTTTTTCATTGTAGTATTTGTGGATAGGGTTGCTCGCATATGGGGCCAATCAATCAATCCAAGATTGCATTTTTATTTCGGCCCGCATCAAGTTTATTGATGTGTTTTTTTTAGGCAAATTAACACCAACTTGAAACAAAATATAAATTTCAGAAACCATAGAGCTACAGATCCAGGACCAAGAGGAAACAACTGGAATCAAAAGCAAACGAAAAATCTTGAAATATGGAGACTCTGAACAGTTCCAAAGCACCAAAACATTGAGCTATCTCACTTTTTACCTGCATCTTAAATTGCTAATTGGGTAAGATAGACGAGGCTTTTTCAGTTTGCTGCAGCGGATTCATTTTTGAAGTGTTTGCTCGACCACCGTGGGTAAGAGAAGAGCGAGTCTGGTTTTGTATCTCGTAATTCGTTGGAGCCTTTCTTCTCTTAATCTGCGTACATGGCACCAATATCCAGTTAACAATATCGTAAATGAGCAAGATATATGCACAAAGTATATGATATACATTAACTAAGACCAAGAAATATATTCAATTTAAGATGGTCTTACAACGGCATTGCAGAAGCGATCAATAGTATCAAATTCTGATTAATTCTATATTTTGAGCGTAAAATAACAGAGATTGATTTCAAAAAATTTCCTCAATTAGAGCATGTTACAAACCTGCCACACAGAAAAAGAATCCTTCAAAGGGACAAAGATAACAGAATAATCTCCAGTTGCAGATTCCCACTTCTTGGCATGACATAGAAACATCTTAAAAACCTATTCACCCAAATTTTTCATGTAACTTCGACAATTTATGATTCGAAATTGCAATTATTCAACAAAAAGTCACCCGCATTGGGGAGAAAGCCTACATACTTGTATGTAGCACATGTTTGATACAAAAAGGAAAACATAATATGGCCTCTAACTGAAGGCTTTGAACAAAGAATGTTTTTTGTATTTCTTTTTTGGAATATGCCTCCAACGGCTTTCCTTGCAGAGAAAACAGCAACAAAATTACTTATCATGAATAAGCAATAGTATGCAACAAACAATTATTTTCAGAAAGAAAATTCAGCACAGTTTCTTGCAAAAGGCAATGACAAGAAGTATTTCAGTATTGACATTAAAAAACATCCCACCACTACTGAGGCCAGAGCAATATAATTAAGGAATTAATATTAAGAAGTATTTGCATTAAACAACATCCCACCACTAGGGGGCCAAAACAATATAACCGAGGAATTTATGCAGTGCAGCACATACTGCAAATAAACAAAAATTCATTTGAAAGCTCTCAACAAACATGTGAACATCCACATTCATCCTCAACTAGAAAATAAGTATTAAAAAGAAATAAATGATTGGTGCATTGAGCCCAAAAATGTGAATGGGAGAGTCAAATTACCGTGACCGAACTCTTTTAGAATGCTTGACATGTCTTTTCAAAAGCTCATTTGAAGATAAATGCTCAACAGATCCCTCATCCTGAAATTAAACACGAGCAATGGTACTTTTGTCTCTTTAGTACAAAGGAAAATGACAGAAGAAAGCAAATCTGGAACATACTTGTAAAACTGTTAACTATTACCATACATCCAGATCTTCAAAAACTAAAAGAAGAGGGAATCAACTACGCCACAGAACTAACTCTCCGCAGTTGGGATTTCCAATTTCAGACTTTTCTCTGAAATTAATTATCATATCTCATGAAGCCCATATGCGAGTGTATTTACATATTACTCATGCAATCATACAGAAAGTGACGTACAAAGAGATTATTAGACTCTTAAACATGAGAACTTCTGAGGATTGTCCAGGTGAGTGGTGTGTATTTATATTCAACCAATTTGAATCTACCACCATAAAACATTAAAGGCTGCAATCTGCCAAATTTATCCACAATGCCCAACCGTACTACTATGTTAGCTATAACGATAATGGGAACAAATTCAACTCATGAAAAGTGAGAAAGACAAATTGCACGACACTTGCTATTATTTCACCCTTTCTTTGTACATGTTCCATACTTGAATACAAATGTAAGTCTCATATTTATACTTGTAGTAAGAGCATTCTAGTGGAACGTAGGGTTAATTATTTCTATTTGTCACTGAAATTTCCCTTGCATTACTAGATTGTCATTTAACTTCAATTCTTTCCGCATGATCACTAAACTATTAAAAGTGATACCCACCCATCATTGAAGTCGACTTCAATGGAGTTGTTGACATGGCCAACGGAAATCCTATGCTACATGTCAACGCCGTTAAATTTATCCAATTGTGACAAACCGAGTTCCCAAATGGTCATTGAACTGTTATGCTTGCATAAATACGCATGCAAATGGTTAAAGGAAAGACTACCCAGTCATTAGAGTCTGTCTCTTTTTTTTCAACAAATTTGGAATGTGATGTTTTTTCTCCACAATTTAAGTGAATATATTAATAAGGTAATTTAGGAAGACAATGAAAAATCAATTCTTACTATGTTCATATCAATTCCAATGAGATTGTGCATGTAGGAAGTTGGAGTTGTCAGGCATTCCATGTGCACATACCATTACTTTGTTATTTTTTTATTAAAGAAAGGATCATGTTAACTGTGTCAATAAGTTCCATAATGTGGAGATTTTTCTTCAATGCTATGAGAGCATTATAAAATCCCTTCAAAGGAAAGCGGATGTGGCCTGAGGTTGATAACCTCCCAATCAAACCATCAGCTTGGTATGTTCAGGAAAAAAGGTATGAAACAAATTAAAAGGGAACAACCTGAAGAGCAAGGTCCTTCTCAGTCTAAATCCAAGTGAAGAGGGTTGGTCAGGTAGCCATTACATGCAGTTTGTGGTTTAGAAGGTCACAATGAGAGGTATCGTATTAGAAGTGATGCACCGAGGTAAGTAATTGCTTGCATTTTTTAAACAAGAGGAAGAAGTAACATCCCAAGAGAACAAAACTTCCAATTTGTACCTATACCTGGGTTTGAAGAGATGCACAGTTTATCAAGCAATGAACCAGCAAAATCAACACATGGCAAGGCTAGAATATACAAAGAAAAGGGAATTCAATGTTCAGAAAATTTGCAAGTTAATTATTCCAAGTGGATATACTTTTAGTTCAGTAACCATGGAGAACCATTGATAGCTTTCACACTAGCTGTCTTTTTTTCTTTCTCATGAAAATCTCTCTGTTGAGATTTTATCATAAAATTTCACTTCTACATCCATTTGATTTTTCACTCTATATAACGATTACTAAAGCCATAAGAGTTCTATCGAATCTTCTAATAAACTAGAAGGTAAGCCTCATAAAATTACTTCTTTCTACAGAGACAGATAGCCTATTATCAGAAAATATTATCCTTCAAATGTCCTTTTGTTTTAAGATGTCCACTGTATATAATTCAACCAATACACAAATATATTCCGTTTTCAAGGATGACATTAAGTTTTTTGCTGCATCTAATGACTGACAGGATTCATAAATTATAATAGTTAATAAATATGCAACATAGTCATCCAAAATTGCAGTTTTCCTCCTCTTAGAATGCAATGCAACACCTACCATTAAGTGAACAATATTGATAATTATTTTACTCATGAAGAGGTATAACCTTCTCAAATTCATCAGTACAGGACCACATATCCACAGAGACTTATTGCCACAATAATTGTTTATTGTGCTACCTTATGTGGTCATTTCTTGAATCCACAAGAAGTTGACTCTTGTGTAATCTTTCGTCCAAGTGGGATAACATAACTACATGTGACCATAAGTAGACTTCATGACTCCTAAACTCTTTGATATAGGTACATTAAGTGAATGTAAACTTATATATATTGTATCATGAGCAAAGTCATCCCTACTAAAGCTAAATACATGAACTGTAACTAAATTTATGAACTTGTTCCATAGAATCACGTGGAAACCACAAAATAAGTTGTGGATACATTAAAGAACCCAAGGAAGGTTTGTGCACCAAGTTAGAGGTATTTTTAAAGAAAAATGTGCATGTTCTTCCAATCTATTAACTATTGATAACTTAAGGGTGACAGAGGGAGTATGATACTTAACCAGCCATAACTTGAGATATGACCGTACTCTTACAAAGATACACTAGCATTGATTTCAGGCACCAACCTCATTTTCCTCTTCTTTATCTTCCCTTTTCTCAGTTGAATCTGAATCTAGCAGAGTTAAAGGCAAAGGTCTGGGAAGAGACTTTACAGTATCCAAGTGGTGAGGCTGCAGAAGAAGTAAGAATTCAGAAGAACAATGGGGAAAATTATGGCTAGGATCCCTAGCCTTCCCGAAATGTAGCAAGTACAATTTTTTAGCAAGTGGGTCCCTAATGGACAGTTTGCATCCATTTTGGGCATTAAAATGTCATATTTCACTAAAATGACCATTATACCATTTTTCCTATTTAAACAGAAAATAAAATGAAAAAAAAAATCAAATACAACAAGAAAATGACAAGATAAAAAATTCCAGCCACGGCGGCAGAGTTTGGGCCAAGACCATGAGAGGGAGAGAGGTATTAACTGTATGGAGGCTGGGGGTAAAATAACCGTGATTCATTTTTGGGGAAGGATGCAGTGCTGGGGAGTGGGAGCGCCAGGGTGAGAGGTGGAGGCAAGGACAGGGGATACTGGGGGTACAGTTGGGATGGGGCCACAGCTGGGGCATGGGGTGAGTGGTAGTGGGACAGGGGCTGACTGATACATGGAGGGTTATTCTGATTTGAAACAGCCGGGATAAAAAGGAAAAAAAGACATGAAAAACAGTAAGAAGCATCATACACGCAATGCAGTCAGAAAAGCATTTTCAAGTGGAAACCTGAATTTCTTCAGGAAAACCATTCCTCAACCATGACCTACAAAGGGTGTAAAGAGAAGCACTATCAGATGCTTTGACCTGCAACAGATAAAATGGATTTTCATCAATGAGAATACAACAAATAAAGCTGAAACATCATATAATAGCGCATATTTGGCCCGAAATGAGAACATCAAATTCATCAAAATTTAAGAATAATTTAAATGAAAGTTATTGTCTATGATTTCACAAACATCTGGTCCTTTGATTTCTTAAAGATTGTTTAAGAAGAAATCTTAAGTATCCTAACAACATTAATATTTACATGTACTTACCTACGAACACACAAGCAACTGCACAAAGATATATACATGCACATATTGTAATGATATTCAGTTATTTACCTTCCTTTCTCTAACAACTGGTAAAGTATTATCCCTACTTCTATCCCTACAAGAAAAGCAGAAGGAAATCATGAGCATTTCTGGATGTCTATACAGTACTTCCAGATAACTTGTGAGGTCAAAGAGACGGGTGGTGGGGGGGAGGGGGGGATGAAGTAAATACAGTACCGTAAGTTTTTGTGGCCGTTACTGTCAGAGATTGAAGTTGAAGAAGAACTGACCTGGAACACCACAGATAATTGAATGGGAAAGGCAATTTAGGAGGCTGCATCATGCTAAAAACGTGTTTATGTAGTACTACTAACTAATATTTCCTTAATTGAATATAGGTTGAATTTTTCAAGAAGACTTGTTCTCCAAAATATGTCTCATGGGGTCATCAGTTCATTTGGTTGGAGAAGAAAAATGCTACTATATAGCAACTTTCTGGATTGAAAATTTTAATGAACAAGACAAAAATACAATCTTCAAAAGTAGTTTGAAGGAGAAAAAGAAACTATGAGCCTGCACTATCTCACATGTTCGTCATGACACAGAGCCCAAATAAACATCCATGCATGCTCCAAAATGGTCCCTAGTTGACATTGGTCTTTAAGCTTACTTAAATATGGGTTTTATTTGTCTTCTTCTTTCATGACTTTTATCTCTTGTATTATTTCAACATTTACAAGATATGTTCTTCTATCTTGACCTTAAGAGCTCTGATTAATGCGAACATCTACTCCTACCAAATTTCTATCACACAACTCAAGATACTTTTCATATGACCACTCAGATTGATGGAAGAATTTGTAATTGCAATATCACATTTTACAACTGGAATTTGCTTTTCCGAATTATTGATGCCATACAAATATCTACTTTGGATGATCATATAGCTCTCAAAAACAAATAAAATAACATTCAAATTATAATAACTGCAGTGATTGATGAAATACTTAAGAACTTCGTATAATTGAGAGCAATATGTCTTCTCTCAAGCATCAAGACTAAATAAAATAAGATTCAATTCATAATCAATTGTAGAGAGTGATGAAATGTGTAAGAACATCATATGATTAAGATCAATATGTCTTCTCTCAAGTATTAATTTCATGTGTTATGTGATGCTCTAACCTTTAAACTACTCAACTGTAAATTCGTAATCATGCATGTGCATATGGTCTCCAGGACCTAGCAAATCCATAATTTGACATCACAATACGTCAATTGGAGAATGAGATCCCGTGATGAACATTTCTGGTTCAGTTACGGTGCAGTTGATTTCCACCAATTTTGGCCAAACAACGACTAAAAAACTTCCCATCAAAATTCAAGAATGCATATAAACAGAGAAACCAAACCTTTGGACGGTGAAAAGATGAGACTGGAATTCCTTTAAACACACCAGGCATGACTCCACCACCAACATTAGCAGCAGAAGAAGGTCCGGATGCAAGCAAATGAATCGGTCCGGAATAACCTGGTCTTTCCTGCAACTGAACTGGTTCTGGGTGGGGGCACACGACTGGCGGTCTCGAGGGAGGTCCCGGTCCCGGACCGAAGCCGAGTCCGGAGGCGACAACAGGTAACTGGTTCTGGGTGGGGGAACACGCACGGCGGTCTCGAGGGAGGTCCCGGTCCCGGAACGAAGCCGAGTCCGGAGGAGACAACGGGGTAGAGAAACTGCGCGGGATCCTGTGGGTGGACCGGCAACGGAGCTAATTGAGGGTAATTGGGATTGGGATTCGAAGGTAGTCTGGACGGGGGTGGATAAAAGGGAAGGGGATGGGAATTAGGGGGCCTGGGGTCAGGGAAGGGTGGCCGAGTTGTGGTGGTGGAGGAAGGGTCAGGGGGCGGCGGAGGGGTGGAGAGGGCCATCGGATCCAAAGGCGAAGATGATGGCGGGGGATTCGACGGCTTGGGTTTTCGAGGGAGTTAATTTTGGAGGAAAATTTTAACGGGAAAAATTCAGGCATTAACTGTGCACAATTCAAATATGGGATTTTAAGTTTAAATATATAATTAATAGTCGCATGTACATAATAATAGATCACAACTTATTTATTGATTACGTATTAAATAATTAATTGATCACGAATTAATTCGAGATCACAAATCAAAAATTTCATATGTCACATTTTATTTTATTAGTCATAGATTAAAAAAATTATAGGTCACAATTATCAATCAATCACATATTTTCAAATTTGTTGGTGATAAATTATCCAATTTTAAGGTCACAGTTTATTTCATTGGTTACAGATAAAAAATTATACGTCACAATTTCTCAATTAGTCACGTATTTTCAAATTTGTTGGTCACAAATTATCGAATTTTAAGGTCACAGTTAAACAGCTGATCACGGGTAACCAAATAGTGGGTCACATACGACCACCACCTACACTGTTACCGCCGTTAGCACCACCATCACCAACACCACGACATCACCACCAACAAAATCGCCGCTACCAAATCCAATCGACTGCTAACAAAAATCATAACAATCAACTCTATCAGATCTTCACCCACCAACAACCACCACCGCATCGCCGCTGCCAAATCCAACGCCAACCCCATAATTGCCGCCACTACCACAACTGCACCACTACCACCACCACCACCAATACCACAACATTACCACCAACAAAATCGTCACCACTAGATCCAACAAAAAAAATCATAAATCCACCACCACCTCCATCCCTGCCGCCGCCACTAGATCCACCATCATCCCCGTCACCAACAACAACAAAGACATCACCACGCCACAACCACCACAAACCCGCCACCACCTTTAACCTCGTCGTCACCGCTAGCTAAGCCACCACCCCACCAACAAAATCAAGAAGTCCGCCACCACACAAATATCATCCCATCTCCACACAAAACACCATCCAACGATCAAAACAAAAACAAAAAAAAAAAAAAAGCAGAGCTACGGGTAGTGACGTTCACAACATCGCCATCTCTAAGCCATACCACCACCGTTACTGCGCAAACCATGGGTCACAGAAAATAGTCGGAGAAACGCCACAAATCGAAGAAGATTTCAATCGCCGCCCCTACACTTCCGCGCGCAGAGGTTCTGATATCTTCATTAAGTAGCGCGGTGCTGTTTAAGTGGTGGCGACGACGTGATTCCCGTGACGGTTGCTCCAACGACGGCGACGGCGACGACGACATCTGACAGAGAGAAAGGCACGAGAAGGAGATGAAGAAGATGGGGAGGTAGAGTGAGAGTGAGAGTGAGAAGAATTAAATAAAATTAAGGTTTGTAATTGAATTGGGTGAAAACATTTAATATATAATTATTCTGTAATACCTGATTTTTTATTAAATAAAATTTAGATCTGATTTTTGAATATGTAAACTTAAATGCCTGGTTTTAATTTCCTCAATTTAAAAACGTTTGACCTGTAGGCTTTTGCTACTGTGTACACAGGGTGTACAAGTATCATACTGACAAGTTCTTGATAAAATACTTAGTCAAATTTTTGTCTATGTGGCACTGAGGTTTCACTCAATCAGCCCAGGAATTTGCACAATGCACACAAAGAAAGATAAAGGCAGCAATGTAAAGGAACGCAAAATTTACGGGTAAAATCCAACTCGTTTATTACTTCACAATAATACAAGTATATGAAGGAATACTGAAAGAACACAACAACACACTATGTCTCATCAGTCCAATCTTCAAAATATATAAGCCAAAATTTGTGTGCAGTTAATACCCTTAACTTCCAAAGGGATAAACCAACCCAGTAAGATTAGAACTGCCAGAAACTGCTTCCCACAACATTTCCCAACAACTGTCCATGCTTTTCACATGTATGGACCACGAAAATTGCCCAACACATGTGTCAAACATGTGCTTAATTTGGACACCCGAATTTGTAGACTAGAGTACACTAACAGTAAGTTGGATCCGTCCATGCCTTGCCAAGCCAATTTTTCCCAATCCGCAGCACTTTGACATCGGCCAAATTGAAGCACAAATTGAAATCCGTATTTTCCTTGCTCCAAAATCTGAAGTGTGCACCATCAACACAATTGTTCCTCAAAATTTCGGCTTGAGTGCAAGACATGCCCATGCTATTAGAGTGTTAATGTTTAAGGGGCTGACAACAAGCCAAGCCCTTAGAGTTCACGATTTTTTTAATTAGATGTGGGTCTCCTTTATCATGAGGGATATACATCGAAACGTCAATTTCAGTATATAAATAGCAAAATCCTTTAGGTTTCCCCTACTATATAAAAGAAAATAAAAAGGCAACGAGGAGTGTACTGTAGATGCAACAATAATTCAATCCCCTTCTATTTTTTTTCATTTCATTTTTCATTTTTTTTCGTGTTTTTTTTTCAAAGTTCCCTTTCCTTTTTTGCCTTTTCTTCAGGGAATAAAACGACACCGTTTCATTTGCAGTTCCAATACTAATCCTACTCTTTCACACAAAGCTTCCTCCTCCTCTACTACACCATTTTTTGTACCATTCTTCTCTGCTACAACCATTGTTATAGAACTTGGAAAAGTCATACCACAAAAGCTAGCCAATGTGGTTGGAAAACCCAAGCCTATATAAACCACACAAAGGAAGCTCATACTCCTGATGTGGGATTCAGATTCCCATAAATCCCACTGGAAATCATGAAAAATCACCACGCTTCCGACTTGAAGTCCACGTCGAACAGGTGCCCATACACCCTAAGTGGTAAATGAGACCAGAAGACATGATGTCTGCTCAGATACCATTGTTATAAAACTTGGAAGAGCCAGACCACAAAAGCTAGCCAATGTGGCTAAGTAACAAACATATTAATGTTTCTCGTCCCCAACTGTCTCCCCCACCCAGGGGTGGGCATTGGGTCAGGTCGGGTCGGGTTTGGCCCAAAATGACCCGACCCGGTTCGAATCGGGTCGGGTACAACTTTAATTTTTTGTTTTACTTAAATATTAAATAATGCTTTTGCCTTTTCAATAAGAAATTTTTAACAAAATAATATTTGTCATTTATACAACACAATCAGAGCTACTAATTTATTCAAGATGAATAGAAGCTCATCAATGCCAAGAGACGAGAAACAAACTTCGACTGCTAAACAATAAAGAAGAATGCAGAGATGAATAAAAATACTACTATGAATCTTGAGAAGTTTAACAGCAGTGAAACTGGAGACTTGGGGAAGGTAAATAGTATAGTTGGCAGCAATGGAGAGACAAAGAATGTGGATAGTGCTAACAGCAATATCAGCGACGTAGTATCGAGATTTTTTTATGACAAGCTTCAGAAAGAGGTTATAAATTTGAGGAAGTATTGTGAGTTTAAAGAATGCTCTTTGAATGCTAAAGATGAAGAAATCAAGGTAAAGTACCAGCAACTCCACCCACCCCCCTAGGCACCTGCGGTGTGCTCCTTGCATTCTTAAGCCAGTATATTTGCTTTATTTCCAGATGCTCATGAAGAAGATAGAAACCATGTCAAAAGCCATACAAATAGAGTCTAAGAAAACAAAGAGAAAAGCTGCAATAAGAGAGACTGAAGTTTTTTCTTCAGATTAAAGATGGAGATCTGTGGAGAGGGAGGCTAGAAGAGAGGATTTCACGGCTTTGGAGACACGATTTCAGGGTTGGGAAATGGAAAATAGGGTTGGGTCGGTTTGCAAAGTTTTAAACTGTGAACCGACCGGACCCGACCCGACTCATTTTTAAATAAAATTGACCCGACCCGGTTCGGTTCGGTTCGGCAGTTTCGGGTTTATGGGCCCAACCCTAATTGCTCATTAAGTGAAATGTTATGAATTTAAATGCCAATATTCGAAGGTAACAAACCATTTGCGCAACAAAATCAAATAAATTATTTTATATTTTTTTCACATCAACTTGACAAAACCCTTATAAATAGAATAATGTTATTTATAATGAGGACTACCGATAGTCCTTCCATGTGACATATATCTAATTCCTTAAATTTTTAATCAATAATGTCCACTATGAATGGTTTAAGGAATTAGATATATGACACATGTGCATGACTATCGATAGTCTTCTCTATGAAAAGATTTGATCTATTTTGCTTATGTGACAAATTTTAATTCACGTTAGTATTGAAGATAAAATTTTGAATATGGATGCACATAATTTTGCAATAACTTCATATTTTAAAAAAGTCCTACCCGTTTAAAAATGATGCAATACCTCCTCTATTATCTTTTTTGCCCTCGTTAGTTTTTCAATCTCCTCGAGTGCTTAGCATAAACTTTAATCCATGAGGTCACTCTTGAACGGTGAAGAAAATGTGAAAATTAAGACACGACGGCCGTAATCAAATCAAAATTATCCAATGGCCTTCCAAATGCATGTAAAATCAAGAAAACTTCCTAAAAGGGCAAACTAGATTTTTATGATCCATTCGTTTCATTTATATAGATTGTTTCGTTTTTCACACGGATTAAGAAATATTATTTTAAAAAATAATTTTTGCCAAAACTTTTCTAATTTATCATTATTTAATTATCAATAACTAGTAGTAAATTATTACGGTAATACATTCTTCAATAAAATAATATTACACGCAAATTTTATTTTATTTTATTTTTAAACTGCACATTTTTATTTATCTACTATTTCAAAATATATTTTTACAATAAAATGGAACTTGAACGTACTAATATAATTAAAATGGGTGGTTGTATATTTGTAAAAAAGGGTTTTGCTTGGTGTACAGGTAGAGGTTCACCGAACACACACAAATAAGGGTGGGGTGGGTATTTTTGGGGTGGTTTTTTAGATGAATGCTACATGTACAACATTTGGATTATAACATTGGATGATAACCTCTCACAAGAGAGTGGGGCTCGCGATCTTGTGAGAGGTTGTCATCCAATATTATAAGCAAATGTTATATGAGGAGAATTATTCGATTTTTTAATGAAACAGGTCCCATGTGGGAGGCTCTGCTCTGTCAAGCCAGTAAAAGGCCCGGCGGAGGATCATACTTATGTAAAAAAAGATATGGTGTGACCACCTTTTTATAAATTCATTAAAATAATCGAATAATTATTCCGACAAAGTCTACTTGATGATTCTAGTCAGAAGACGTGACAGCATTCAAATGCCTATGCCCTAGCTTCAATTCCATCTCCCAATTTTCAACCAAATTTGTAATTACTTCTGTATCAGAAGAATCATCATCATCATGATTTATGTAGGTGGAGTTCCATTTGCAACTGATGAATCATCCCAGGTACCACTCAACTTTAGAGCTTTGTTGTGCTTTCCTTTGCTTAGATTGGTTCTTTTTACTTTCCACAATCACAGCCCACAGACAGAACTCAGCTTTTTTCAACGACGAATCAATGGATTGGTTCCTTGTCATTAGGCTAAATAATAGTCTCTAGTGGATTATTTTGTTGTTTGATATAAACAGAAAGGTACGGAGGGATCATATGCAAATTTTAATTGTTAGTTCATCAGATTCGAGAATTACATCTCTATACGGTTAGAGAAATCTGTAACAACATTCTCCTTTAATTATATGACAGGTGCCAAAAATGTACTGTATAGTACATGTTAAAACATATGTATATGTTCTCCAGCCCACCTTGGGCAGAATAAGACTGCCCAGCTACTGATGCGGCAGGAGAACTGAATCTGTTCCAACGTTGGGCTATCCCAGTGGGTATTATAAGACTTTCCACCTTGGGCAGGAAGAACAGCTCTACTAAAACATAATTGCATCGGTAAATAGATTAGAAATAAAACAGTAAAATTTAGACTACTACGGCTAACTGTCCTCTACAAGTTGGATTCTGGGATCCATGATGCTTGGCAGAATGAACTGCAGTGCAGAAATTGGTTTGATAAGGAATCTGATAATAAGCTGAATAAGTTTGACTAAGAGCACCTGCGAAGAGTATAAAGAGAGCAGTAAAGGACCATATTGGAGAGAAATAACGAAATGCCATATTTGGCTGAAAACCGAATCTGTCCGAATCAGGGCATTAGTCCACAATTTATAGGACCTAATCCATACAATGATATGAATTTTTTGCACGGTTTTAAAACAACCAAACAGCTAAATAAAAGAAAGAGACAATAAAGAAGGCTGTGCTAATAATTAAAAGAAGTGTATGTTTTAAAGAACAAAATACTGCACCAATTTGAATTGAAACCAGCTGCTGCAACCCAATTAACTCTTTCTTCCATTCCCAGTACCCTTAAGCTTCTCCTCCTGAATCACCCCTGCAAACTGAGTTCTGGGATCTTGACACTGAGCTTTAGCTTTGAGAATGAAATGCAGTGCTGAAAGTAGTTTGATAAGGAAATCTGATCATAAGCTAAACAAATTTGATTGAGAGTGTTTTATCTAGAACTTTGTCTCTCACCAAGTATAATTCAATTTTGATATGCTTAGTCCCTAGAGTGTTGAATTGGAATTGCACTAAGTGCAATAGTGTTGAGGTTTTCGTTCCAAATCAATGAACTTCTGAGTTTCTAGATTCAAAGTTCACACAATAAACCTGGCGGTCAGTGCATTTCTGTTTTTGCATTGGCTAAGGTGCGATATTCTGCTTCAGTGGAGCTCAGGGATAAAAGTATGTTGCTTTTCAGAGCTTCATGTGACAAGGTTTCTTCCAAGAAATATGCAGATCCCTGATGTAAGCTGATGATCATCAAGATCTGAGCAGTAATCAGCACCTAAATAACAACAGAGAAATAAGCACAAAGACTTGGAGAGAATATGATGCCAAGAGTTCCTTTGAGACATTGTAGAATCCTTTCAAATGTCTTTCAGAGTTTTTCCAAGGGGTTGGGCATTTAAAGAAAACTTTGTTGACACTATAGGAGATCACAGTATGGAAGATTGTTGCAATTTGGTGCACTGACTATACTGCAATAGACTTGAGGATTGAATGTTGGTCTCCTTTATTTTCAGTGAATTTCACATCACTGACCATCTCTGTTGGCATAGGATTGAAGCATTTGGTGCACTATATTTTATGAACTTTACCCAACTCAAGTCGAGAAATTTTAAAAGCAACTCTCTGCAGTCAGCTCCTTCCTTTAATCGATGATGTGTCACAATGAAATCAGTGCTCCTTTTCCTTCTCTTCTTTTATGGATCTGCATCATAATCCTACAAGTTCTATGGATTTGGGTAAGGGGTGTGGGATATTGGATAAATTACACCATCTAACATCATAACATTTAAGTCATGTGAACATCATATGATTCTTCTTATACTTGCACTTGACAACAGAAACACCAATAGGCTATGGAAATCTCAAGAATTCTGCTAGTTATACTGTTGTTGTTTACTGTGGAAATGCGATCCATACCCTGAGTTCTTGATGTAAAAAGTACTTATACCAACTTCAAGTCATTCCAGCCTTAATCCTTAATGATTGGGTACATTAGATATCCATATATATTTGAAATTCCATCATTGTCTATCCGTATTTCCCTCCCCAGCTTATGGCCCCTTCTTAGAAAATGAACTCTCCTATTCAATCATCAATTCACCATTCTCAAAGTTCTATCTAGAGATGCTTCAATGCAGTTGCATGTTTATTCGTATTCAGGACTTTTGGAGAGGCATATGACATAAATGTAACAAGATTATCTGAATCATTTAATAGATTAACGCTACCTTTGTTTTTCTAACATTATGATTGGCTATTTAATTTCAATCTTTGTAATTGTGAACAGGGCACCCATATGTTGATTTCTTTGATGGAGCATCCCATTTTGGTATCAGCCTCAAGCTCATTTAAATTTCTTCCAGAGAGAAAGTTCTCAGTTTCTGAACCCTCTGGTTCAGAAGCATCAAGAAATAGTAAATGGGTCTACATTTTCCAAAGGGAATTTGCAACAGTTGACCCTGCACTCATTGATGTATGTTTGTATTTTCTGTTCAAGAGTTGAAATATAATGCTCTAAACATGTGTTCTAAAAAACATAAAGCACGGCAAGGCCAAGCTTCAAGCCTAGCCAAGCTTAGACGAGCTTTTAGAACAATGCTCTAAAGTAAGGAACTCACAGTAAATCCTAAAACTTCATCCACTAGCTTAGCTGTTTGATGCTTTCTGTTTTTGTTATTGCTAATGCATTCAATTAATACTGCTACTCTCTTGGACAGTTTTCATATTTACCATTAAATTCTAATCAGCTACGTAGTGCATAAGATATAGCTCTCCCTTTTATTGCAACTCTGTTAAAATGAGGGAAGTTGATACTTTGTGATGGTGAAAGGAAATAAAGGAACATAAATTAATATACATTAGTTAAAGACTTAGAAGATGGTGATGCCTTCATGGAGATATGTCGGTAATTGACAATTATTTTCTGAGCGCTTAAAAATCTACTGGTTCAAACTTCAAAATTATAAGTTAAGACTTAGGCATATATGCATTTTAATTTTTATAGCTGAAGAATCCAAAATTTTAGCATTCTCGTTCAGTTAATATCTGTAAGCGGGTTTAAAGTATTGCCTTCCCCCTGCAATAAAATGTCTCTCACACAGACACCCCAACACTTAGAAATCCTGAAATCTTAGTACTCCAAGAAAAATGCATACTACGAAATTCATGAAAGGCTTTTTCAAATGCTTATGGTTCGTTTTTATTGAAGCCTTGTCTATTGTGTGTCTTGAATAGAATATCTACTTTATCATTGACGGTTCAGCAACTCTTTCTTTCTAGCAGGCAATACATATCTGATACCATCATCTAGGCCTGCTCTTATCTTGCTCTCTTGGATTTAAACTAGTCTATGCCGTTTATCTATTATCTTTCTATGGAATGTCAGTGATGTTTCCGAAATTCAATTTTAATTAACTCTTAACCTTATTCTCTTGCATTTTTTTCCTTAAAAAGCTTCTCTCTCCATTTTGTCCTTCACTTTGCTTTTTGCAGATACTTCTGCATTTTATGAAAGAATGCCATATCTGGCAAGAACTAATGAATAAATATAAGTGTCATCTCTCTCATACTAACTTGTTGCTACATTTGTTTTAACCTTTGCTTTAAAATGGTTTTCAACAAACTATGATTCAAATGTGGTGAACTGATTGCAAAATTTAGTACACTTTCTGTACCAAAAAAAAAGGTGAAGTTCTTTTTGAAATAATTGCAGATTTCTGCTTTAAATGTTTTATTTACTTCTTTTTACTGATCACACCGAATCATATTTCCCTTCTTGTAACAAGTTTGTTGGTACTGATGAGGCAACAACCTGTGTGGGCCTTGTAATCCGTAACCAAAAACATGGAATGTGAGTGTTAAATGCTGTATGCAGAAGATTCCTGTAACTAAATATTTAGTGGTGCATTTTAGTTATGTAACCTTTGCTTCTTATTACAGGGTTTCTGTTGCTCATATGGATACTCCAAGTGTTGTTGATATTGGCCTCAGTCAGATGTTGTCTTTGGTTGCAGATCATGATCCTGATACCGTGCTGGATGTATGATTATATTGTTTTGATGATGATTGGTTCTTATTTAGTCGTGGTCATTTGTGTGGCTTGTAACATATGCAAGGTTGTTTCATGCAGGTGCATCTAATAGGCGGATATGATGATACCTCGTCTAAAGTCTGGCCCAAACCCCCTTGCTTTTGATTTCCTAAGAGTGTTGCCATTCAGGGAAAAAATGTTAATTCTTTTGAATTTTTGCGCAGAATGAATATCTTGCTAACAAAAGTAGTGCCAAATTGGATGGATATTCACATACTTTGTGTGCCAAGATAATTGAAACCCTGAGGAATAGGAATGAAAAATTTCAGATTCAAACTCTCCATGTTCTTCAGCATAACACCAGATGGGATCCTGACGGAACTGCACTGCCCATCTTTAGTGGATTTGTGGTTAGCTTCAACTTTTTGAAGTCCTTTCCTTTTTCATTGTTACTCATGTCAGATAGAGATTTTAAGTTTATTTTATCAGGAAGCATAAAATCAAAATGTTTGGCTAAAATTATAAGCTGGATTTTTGCACCTTATTTTGGCAGTAGAGGAGGATTACCTGCTGATAAGCTGCAAGAATGGAAGCTGAAATTCTTAGCTAACCATGCTGGCCTTGCATAACTTTTTCATTTTTATTTTTTTTTTGTCCAATTATACTTGAAAATAAAATATCCAGGGTGAAATTTTAACAATATTCATTTTTTTTTATTTGTGCTTTTTATTAGTAGTTGGATTATTATTGTTGTATCAGGGAAAAATAAAAATAAAACAGTACGCGGCCTTTTTAAGAATTAAAATCTCCCAGAAACTCATCTAGTGCATTGTATCTGTATTGGTGGAGTTCACTTTTCTTGGACACGTGAAAGTATCTCTGAGACGTAGTCGTTTCTAGTCTTTAGGATCCTTGATAACAAGATGGACATTTTTAATCTTTTACTTTGGATAAACATATTTTCACTTTAAGCTGTATGTATGCCCATAGTTTTTTCAAGTTTCAATCACAATTCTTCCATCAGGTGGACACGTCGACTGGGTCAATTATACCAGCCAGCTTTGATAGAACATCAAGATGCCCAGATGAAGTGGTTCGAAGAATTCGAGTGACTGCGTGCTATGATGATCCCAAATGGGATGGCAGGTTGCTTGAGGCATATGACACCAAGACCGACCAATTTGTCATTGCTCCATGCACTTGGTAGAGTTTTTTTTCTCGCACCTCTGCTTCTGTTGGTCCTATGCATACATCACTGACTCAGATGTGGAAGTGCTGAAAATAATCTGCTTTTGTTGGTTGGCTAATGATCCATATGGCCCAAAATTACATTAAAAATCATGCTTGGTGTACATCGTGGTGTACACCAAGTTTTACACTTTATCACGTGACAACACATCATTGGACAGTTTAAAAACAATACAATTTTTTGGTCCAATCATTTGTTGTCAAGTTGGATAATGTCAAAAATGGTGTACACAAAAAGGTGTACAAATGGCATTACCCTTACATTAATGCCTTTTGTTTTGACAGTTGATTCATAGCTCCAATATCCCCTAGTTGTATTCATGTTATATCCTTTCTTCCCTATAGGAGCTCACACCAATTATACTTAGCAATGGCAATTCAAGAACTCTCCGATGCAGAAATCCTCCTTAGATGTTCAACTTCACCTTCTGCTGAGAGCCCAGATTTTGTGGAGAATGAAAGAAGGTGAATACACATTTGCACAGATTTGTGCTACACAATATTTTACATGCTGTCTCATTTTCAAGAATTGGCTGTTGGATACACAAAGTTTGAGTTACAATATCATATGATTTACGTTGATTTATGAATTCAACAAATTCTCAAGATCAGTCACATGGGAGTAAATAGAATGCTTCTGAATCATGTGATATTAATAGTGGACTGAGCTGTGATTTCATAAATCTGCTGCTGCATCCCCTGATAACACTTATACGCCTTTGAAGTATATTTCTGGTTTGTTAAAGCTGTTTGTTGTTCTTCAAGGAGTAGATATCTATTTGATGTCCCAGATTTTCATTCTTCTTTAAGAGTGTTCCTAGTGCTTTGGTGTAAAATGTCACCATATATCCAAAGGGATAATGGAGAAGTTAACGTTGAAACTGTTTCTTTATCCAGGCAGTGTGACTACTTGATTCATCATCCACTTTGGAGAGAAACATTTCCTCATAAGCAGCCTCGCACATTTCAGAGGATTGAAGATGGAAGTTGGGTGAAATGCTAAAGGTTAAAAGATTTTGATTGCGTACGGCAGGCATTTGCAGCAAAATATATCATTTTTTTTGTAAATTAAGCAGAGTATAAACTTCACTCTGACATCGTGGTTTTCATAATTCAGATAATAAAACTACAATATATTGCAATCAGAACATACAATGTGTGACTGTTCGTGATGAACTCGCTCACCATTGTTCTAGCCACCACCTTCTGATGAAGGACCAATATTCTTTTGATTTAGACTGTTTCATGGTGCTTTGTGCAAAGCTTAACCCCAGTTTGCCTATCAAATAGCTTTGAATTTACTCGATTCTTCCTAATAATAGCTCTGGCAAGAGGCATTTATTTTATTTTTACAAATGGGTTAACCATTTGGTGTATCAAGCCTTGAGATCGCTTACTCTAATTTGTGCACAACTTTGAATGTCAAAACATAGACCTTTACAGTTAACACTTTGAGTACCCTTTACACGAGTTTATATTCAATCTCTCTTAATATCTATGTAACATGAGTTCCCATTGATAGTTTCTTTTCAAGAAACTTATTATTCAAGTCTAGTATGTAAGACATTGTTTCAAGGGTACAAGGGTGGTTAAACAAAAACTAAAAATAAAAAAAAAATCATCTTATTCGCCCCACCACAAATTCCTCGTCGCCTCTCATTTTGTCCCATGCCCCAGAGTACCAACCAGTTGAGCACAAACAAAGAACACAAAAACTACAAATCAAAAGCTCAGCATGAAATTATTTTCCCTTTTTCCCCTCGATGGCATCTACACTAAGATCGCAAATGTACGGACTCTGATGTGTTTGTAGAGGATGAATTACGACCCCAACAGCAATTTGGCCTATGCTAAACGACTAAACCATCGGTAATTCAGTATCAAGTATGCAATACAAAAAATGGCATTATACGACGCTGAACTAAGATCAGTCAGGTATTTAACACATTCATAGTTTGTTAGATGCATCCCTAAACTGCCTACCCTACTTGCCACCATCTAAACCACTTTTTCCGTCCAAATTGTTCCCATGATGATTAAATTGCCAATTTCAGTCCATTGGCTGTCCATGTCCTAAATCGCCATCATCTGTACAAGAAAAACGCCAAAAAAAAAAAAAACCACGAAAGTGGAAACATTTCATCACCAATACAATTAATCAGTTGACGGAAGTCATTTAACGAGATAGTTTAAAAAGGTAATCGAACTCCATTAACAAAGGGGATTCCAATAGGGGTGGATCCAGATGAGCATGCACGAGCGGCTGTCTAGCAACCTCTCAATATATGGAAGAAAAGCATTTTTCTGACGGAGCCAGCACAGGCGACTGTACTAGCTCGCTGGGTGCTAGCTCCACTTCTAATTCCAAATATATAATAGATTTTATTTAGCCCTTGTTTGGTTTAATAAAAGTAAAAAATTTAATAAATTTTAATAAAAATTAATGAAATATGTGATTGAAAAGTTGAATCCNTCCCCAGTTGGATATTAGGTAAAAATTCTTAACATCAAATAAATTCATGTAGTTTCTAGTTAGTTTTTAGACCACACATTAAAAATTTTTAGAGCTATATCTTAGAACTATTGATTTTGATGAACACCACCAGAAACTAGATAAATGTACGCCAAAGTCTTACCATCTTCACCGTCCGATATACTTGCAAGCCTTGCAAGGACATTGGTAAGCTCTTGTTCATGGTCCTGTTTTGCCAAAAGAAAAAATAACTGATCTAATTGGAAGTGAAGTAATTATGCAAGATTAATTACCGAAAATTCAAGTGCTTTCTAACCTTCAGAAGTTTCTTTGCCTTCTCTACGTCCATAGGGTCTTGATGATCATTCTTAAAAAACCTTTCCACCTGCAAAAATTTACAAGGCAATTAGCACCCATCTTTAGTAGTACATCCAAGTTAATATGTATGTATACTCAATTACTGAAGTACACCTTCTTGATTAGGGCATCAGTGTTCAAAATTTCAATAACACCATCTCCTGCATCTCCAATGCTATTCTGTGATGGCAGAAAATCCTTCCTAGATTGACTTTTGTTCATGCCCCTACCTCTTCCTGCACCTGGAGCAGTCTCTCGCGCAATTGGTCGATTCTTCCCATAACTTCCATGATGGAAATTTCCAGGATCTTCACCTTCCCATTGAATATCTCCAGGAGGAATCTGTAGAGGGGAAATGGAAAGTGATCATACTACAAGCATGCTATGCGTTACTTATCGATCAATGAAAACCAAACATCAAAATCATTTTCCTTTGCCACATATTGCGAGTTGCTAGAATTAGAAATTATGGGTAACAGACAGCAGACAAGCACATGGTCACCTAGATATGAATTAACACACAGCATCTAATATGTTCAACCTTCTCCAACCACTTGAAACCCAAAGCAGAGATGGAAATAAAAAACCAAGGGATGGGGTGAAATAGTGATATTAACCAAAAATCAAGATACAGAGAGCAAAAACCATCATCGTGCTCATCAAGTATGGGACGCTGATGACTCAGGTGATGAATATCATTGTCCCAATAAAGCATATGTACAAGTTCATAGCAAGATGTATGATTTGAAATGATCCTTGTAACTAAATTTCATTGCATCAATATTTCATTTCAAGCCATCAAATTCAATGAATTATTTGTTTATTTTCGTCCACCTGTGGTACAATGCAGAAGCATATCATATTATCAAATCCATTTAAACCATAAGAACTATTTATAGTGGTTTCAAAAACAACAGTTCGATAATCTACCAGCATTGTCACCCAACTTCCCAGGACTGCAGGGAGCCAGGTGAAGACTGCATATCGAACGTCTTAGCTTAGGGATACAGAAGTCATCTTAATCACAAAAAATTCGAGCATTTTGACTGTGTCGATGAGAAAAATATCATAAAAAACCTTCCACAAAAAAATATTTGCTGAAGATCACAAGTAAAACATTCAAGAAAAACTCTCCAAAGACATTAAACACTCCACATTTTCCAATCCAATGATCCAACTAGAAAGCAACAACTAACATTTGATATTAAATAACATAGTTCGCCCATAAATGGTTATCACAACATTTAAAAGTAATTGTCACCAAGGAATACGATGGCTTGATAGGGAAGCCTGACTAGAACAATCTAATAACCAGCATATCATGCCCCAAGCAATTAAATTATATATAAGCTAGACTTCAATATACGGTAAAACTGTGTCAAAGAAGATTCAATTAACTAAAAGGATAGCTTAAGTGGTTTATTTTCTTTTCTTGAAAAATATTTTACTGTAAATTATTGACAACTTACCAAACCAAGTTTGAGTTGATCTTAAGAATTAAAAAGTTCTACAACCATCACTTTATCTTCTTACAAAAGACCCTAAAAGATCTTTTATGTGAGTGAATCTCAAGTCAAGCTAATATCTTAGCTTATGACTAAATGCATGACTAATCCCTCATTAAAATGCATTGCTCGACCAATATTGAAATTTATGAACAGGAATCAAATGAACCACCAAATTTTGTCCGAGTAGTGAAATGGTAAGTCATCAATTCAACTGATATCCACCGAATGTATAGAAACATGATTGCAGTTGCATGTACGAACAACAGAAATATTTAAATTATCAACTTATTTTTTAATTTTTTGAATTAACTTCACAAATTTATCATACATCATGGAAAAGTCATGCTTTCCTTAGGACTATAGAATTGTCTTGGAACTCTAGATCCTATTCTAGCCTTTATCCATATTGAGGTCAAAGGAAGGTAGAACACAAAAGTCAACTATTTCCACCAACATTTAGGTTTTTGCTCCCTCAAATTTTTGTTATCTTGTTGTGAGCGATCAACACATGATAGCCATTGGCTTCAAGGTGTAATCTTAAACCGAACAGTCAAGTCCAGCAAGATGCAAATAATTTCCAATGTATTTACTTCAATTTGGTTTTGGTGGATGTGTTTTAACTTGAATAAAATGTGCCAAGTTTATTGCTATTCAATGGACGCTGGATACTGCAATACAGAGGGATTTCATGCTCCCCATTGATGCCAATGTTACCACTTTACTGAGTGGAGAGATGGATGATATACACACACTGACAAGGAGTATTTAACACAAGGCATTTGAAATCCAGGAATGTGATTGATTTCTGAAAAGGGCGTTGGAAGATTTGGATAGCTAATCATCTCTCCCACTTCAAACACGCACTACAGTAATATAAAACTCAAAAAAGGCAAGAAAAACAAGCAAAAGCCCAGAGCCGCATTAAGGCATAAGCCTTGGCAAGTTGAGGCGTAAGTCATTATAACTCAAGAAGATCATGGCTTGGGCGTAAGCCTTGGGTCTCTCTTCGAAACAATGGATGTAACCAAAAAAAAATGACTTGTTGCCTCCAGTTAATTTGAAGGCACAATTGTGAATTGCCTATACCATTGACCCATTTCGACTACTCATGCACGACATTAAAGCGAAACATAAGTCATGAGTATTAGCACGAGGACAAATAGGAGAAATAACTCTACAGGGGAGCTAATAAAAATTTAAGGGCTAACTAGTCAAGACGTGGTTCGAGTAGCTAACATCCTTTTTGTTGAGGCTCCAAAGCTCAGTATCATTTCTGAGGCTAAAAGAACCTACCTGTCGGACCTTATTCCACCACCTATTATTTGATTAGTACTATTTATATTTTTATCTTGAAAGCATATACTTTGATGTTGTTATTATGTGCTCAACTACAATAAAGAGACATTGTTATCATCTTTTATTATCTTTGGTCATTTTCTTATATTACCAAAGTATGAATTTATTTATAAATTCGAAATCAATATTACATTTTTTATCCACGATTATAAAAGTCACATATAAATGATTTTGATTATGATTACAAATTGACCTAACAAAATTTCTTTTAGATTTTGATGTCAATTCTTGGTTGAACCAAACTGATCATGGTTTTTCCCTTCAAATCTGAGGCTATTTCATTCCTGTTGTGCCTTTTAATCATATGGT